GACCTATACAATTTTTTTCTTTTTGATTTTTTACCTGGATTACTGAGATGCATCAGGACGTTTTCTCACAATAATTCTTACGGCTCTTTTCTGTCAAACAAAAATCAGATTTGTAATAGTTTTACAAGCTTTACCCCAGATTTCAACACAGTAAATTAAATGTGGAACAATTATTGAATTATTTAACACAAGCAGAGCTTTGTCACTGAATAACTCCCTGACTTTATACAGTCCTCCTGTAGATTTAGATATTTTTGTTCTTAAATAATGTGAGGAGGACAGGACAGGAGGGGAGTTTGAAATACTGGGAACTGAAGGAAACATAGAGAATATTTACAGATTAAGTAAAGCATTATTTAGCTATCTCTATGATGCAAAACTAAAAAATTGGGTTTAAGTGATGTGAAGTAGTGTTGTACACACTCSTGTACAGTAGGTGGCGGTGTGCACCTTAAAGTTGCTGCGATCCGCCATGATGGAAAAGAAGAAGAAGAAGCTGGTTGTACAGTCACTTCCGGGTTTTGTCTGTCGTGAAAACAAAAGTGATTCGTGTTGGTTGTGTTCACCACAGATATCGTATTGATTCACTTCACTGTAAGAAGAGACCAGTTGTGTTCAGATCCAAGATGGCTGCGTTTCCTCTGACTCTCCTGACGGTTAGTTTGTTGTTCTCAGTCAGCCACAGCTGGACCGACGGTGAGTTCCTTCTGTCAGTCATCTTTATTTATGTGTGTTTATGTGCACGACTCATCCCCGGCTGAAACTGTCCCCGATTTATTTATTTATTTATTTATTTATTTATTTATTTATTTATTTAGATGAATGAGGAGGAAACAAGTTGTGTGTAGACTGTTCGTAGCTGATGTGGACGGCTGAGTGGTGAGTTTATGGTTGAAAAAAGTGCGTGACAGAGTGCACAGACATGAAAAGTGCGGGGGATGGTCCACGCACTTTTTTCTCGACCATTACAACAGTTTAATCCACCATTCAGATGCGGTAACTTGTTTTTCCGAGCCGTCCGTAAACGCACCACGCACCAACGCTGACGTGCACCTGTTTATAAAGGTTTAGACAGGCTACTGCGAATAAACAGGTGAAATTAACACTTTCAAGGCACAAAATAGAACAAGAGTAAACAAAAGCTTTAAACAAGATAAAAATAAATCACACAAAGTCACACAGTTGTACAATTACAATCAGAAGGCTTCAAATATTTTCAAATGCGTTCAACAGACTTTGCTTTTTTATATTTCATGCATTTTAAAGCAGTTAGGTAATTTTCAATAATCTGTCTTTTAAATAAATTGAAAATAGGCTTTATTTATTTTTTTCATGTATAACAATGAATGAAATATTTTGGCAGCAGTTGTAACATGTTTAAAGAGTAACTTACCCCAAAATTAACTTTTTTTAGCTGATAAACTGTCTAGAATGTGTCTAAAATGTTATATAGTACTGTTTCTGTG